TGGTAACTTGAGCTATTCCTAAATTTTCGAAAGGGTACTGGGTCATAATAAGATCCTGCAAAGAAGCTAGGGAATGGTAGCTTAAGTTTAAAGTATTCCTTTTGAAAGATGTTGGGGGAGGTCTGGGTCTCTCCTGGACTTTGAAGTAACCAGGGAGAAGAAAGTATAGACTTGTATTTCATAATGGCTCCTTTAAGGAACAGGTACCAAAAAAAGGTATTCAAGTATCCCTAAGGGTCCATGTGCTCATATAGTTTCTACATTGGCCCTAAAGTAGTCCCTATATAAGTACTTTGGGGCCAAAGTATATACTATTTGGGTACATGGGGTTGTCAAAATAAGTGGGTTATAATTGGTGTTATAAGTCCCCTAAGTGGGGTTATCCTAAATATAACCTACTTATAACCTTACTTACTAAGTCCCATGGGCCTTTAAGTAAGGTACCCTAAGCTCTAAACCCTATACCCTATAGATCCCTTAAAAGAACCCTTCAAGGATCCCTGACCCTTAGGGTAAGGTACTCCGAACCCAGTCTCTGGCCTTCCAGATGCGGCTCTCCGGCCTGGGACTGCCCATCAAGGCTTACCCTTCACTTGGGGTCCCCATGGGGTCCATGGAGGTTTAGGGGGGGTTGGGGGAGTTTAGGGTTTTTGAGGGAGTTTCGGGTTTTTGGGTTTGGGGTTTCGGGGTTATGTGCATATTTTGCGCTTTTTTGGCTATACTGTCAGGTGCTGTAGGGGTTTCAGCATGTAGTTATATGGAAAGTACGTATGCCTTGAACAGGTTGTAATTGTATTTACTGATGGATACATGAGCCTTTCACGCGGTAGGAGTGTGAGCAAGCGCACGGCGGAAGGTCGCTTTCTTAAGTCTAACAGGGGCTCTTTTTGTTGGTGCACTTCCCGATTGGGGCATGTAACCGTGTAACCCTTGCGCAAAGGCCATGCTAATCTTCTGTATCGTGCCAAAATGATCGGATGCCCTAAACCCTAAACTCCTAACCCCCTCTCAACCCCCTCTCAACCCCTGTGAACCCTCAACCCCTGAGCAATCCCTACACCCCAAAACCCGTAAACTCCTAAACCCCTACTCCCAAGTAGGGTTTTAGTTGAGGGTTTATGCTGAAAAGGGTTCAGGGTTTATGCAAGCAGTCACTGCGGACGATCCGGGCGAGATGCACGCAAGGATCCCTACAACGGACTATCGGTACAACAAATTCCTAATTAAGACGCTGTGCGCGCTTGGAGCGCATGTAAGCATTCCAAACAAGAGTAGGATGTACAAGAGGCACATGACACGTTACCGCCGGACTAGATGGGCCAAAAGGACACCGCATGGCTCGTGCATAGGTGTGGCCATCTAGTATTCTACACAGCTGTTGTCTCACCAGACGAATTTCCTTCGGAACAACTCGTACTGATGGGACTGGTTCCGAAATGTTCAAAGATTTCAAGGAACTTTCACGCTGAATAGTCAAGTCCAGCGACGCCCGGCGGCTCACTTCCTTTAGTGCATGGAGAAACGTCCTCATCTGCGATCCCAAAGTGGGTCGGCACAGACGGAGGGCCTCATAATCAACCTCATGTGCCCAAGCTGACGGAGTGCGGCAGTCCCTCAATGCCACAGGCAAAATACCTGATTGGAAAGCGGCCACATTGACTGGAGTGACCCATCCGGTTTTCAAGACGAAAAACAAATAGACCTCCAGCAAGGGGACCCAAACAGGGTTCAGGGTTTAGGGTCTTCAAGCCTTGAGGAATCTTATGAGCAGGAAATACCACGGGTCTATGCTAGGTGTCGATTTCAACAGCCCCACATTGATTCGGATAGGGGCTCTGTATTTGCAATGGAAACCCCAAATTCTCCTAAATCGGCAACTAGTGTATGTAGTAGCAACGTAGCATGTGATTGGTTGCCATAGTTTAGGACCCGAAACATAGACTGGGTCATGAAAAACGGGGTTACATTCCATTGCTGGTAGACTGTATAGACATATCATAGTACATCCCTAAACCCTAAACCCCTCAACCCATGAATCCCGCTAGTGCTTAGGGTTTACTGTACGGGATCGCATGCTTGGTTCGGGGCGTGTTCTTGGAGCAGTAGGTGCCAACAGACCTGGCAGAGAACCCGTGCTCTGTAGAGTTCGGGGACAGGTTTAGGGTCAGAGGTTAAGGCTTCGGGTTTTTGGGATTCGTGCTCAAGGTTTTTACATTAAGGACTCTGGAAGGGTTGGTGGATATAGGGGCCTGGCATGAAGTGGCTTGTCTGCTTCTTGCAGACCCTCTCTCCCGCAGCTTCACTAAACCCTAAACCCTAAACCCCACATAGGGACCTCGGCGATTTCTGAGTGCAGGGTCACACAGATCCGGCTTCGGGGTCTTAGGGCACAAGAGCTTACAGTAGAAGCCCAGAAGTTGGAAACCCAAAAGCCTGAATCCTTAACAATATAGTATAGGAAATCGCAGCACGATTTGTCCTTGATCCGGTTTCCAACTCCTACTTGTCGGGTATCATGGGCAACTAATGGTTATCCTTTTTGGTATTATAAGGATTATATAGGGACTATACTACCCAAAAACGGTTAAAGGTTACCTACTCTACTACTACTGTTGATGATACAAATCCTGCATTACCCATAATAAGGAATATACCATAATTCCCATAGTTTAGGGTCCTTAAAGTAATGCAGGATTTATATTATCCACCGTAGGAGTTTTTTGGGGTTTACTATAGGGCTCAGGGGGCTTAAGTCCTCGGGATTCGGCTGCAGAGCTTCGAGTCCGTTTTGCCCTCGGGGTGAAGTTCACGTATTACATGAGAGATTTGGGGTTTCGGGTTTAAAGTTTTCAGTTTAGGGGTTGGGGGTTTAGAGTTTTTTTTTTTTAAAGTGCAATGGGGCCTTTTTCTGCAGAAGGTCCGGCCAGTTTCTGGCCTACACTATATCCGGTTTAGAGTTTAGGGGTTTGGGTTTTCAGCTTAGGGGTTTAAGGTTTGGGGGGGTGTGGGGTTATCGGGGCTTCTGGGGCCCATACTTTAGATCGTTGCAAGGTGAAACATACATTAGAAGCTGCCCTCACCCCTATAAGATTATATTAGGGCCCTATTATATTCCTATTATACCACTATTACAGGGTCGGGGCCCTTTTGAAACATACACCTTTGGTAGTATGGTGCCGGGGTCGCACTTCAAAACTGAGACTCATGTCCATGTGGGTGGTTGTCAAAATCATGGTCCCTTTTGGGGTCCCTATTATAATACGGCACCTAATATTTAGGGTACCCCAAAACGGACCTTAATTTCGATAACTACCCAACTGAGTCTCATGTCAATGTGAACTATGTCAGACTCAAACAGCTACTACGGTGACGCCCTACTGGAACCCAAATGCTATTGAACCTAATCTTTTTAGCTGTTGAAAGGAGATGTCACAACTAAGAAGGAACCCTAAAAATGCCGGGTTTATAGGTTCCGGAAACCCCAGGATTCTTGTATGATGCCCGCCGGCCGAAGTTTATGGCAGTCGCTGCGACAGGTCACCGCCGAAACGGCTATACCAAAAGATACTCGCAATCGAGTCGAGTCGGTGCCAACTTTGTGGCCAAGGTGTGCAGGTTCGGCGTGAGACTGCAAGCTGTGCAGAGCTCATGGGTGGTGCTACTGCAAAATGAGTGTCTTGGGGCGGCACTTAATGGTTACTGTTCAGACCTCTATATTCATTAGTTTGAAAGCGGGATTCACTGCTTCACACGTTTTGGCCGCTACTAAACCCTAAACCCCCGAACCCCTACAACCCAAACACAAAACTGCTCTCAGCAGTAGCAGTCTCTTGGTGCGTCCAGTATCTGGGCTTTCCTTCGGGTTGGGTTCTGGGCTGACAGCAAACCCCATAAAGCTGGAAGCCGGATGAAGGCCAAATAGTGCTGGGATTCCTTATACATTACTCTTGAGGATCGAGGCTATGGCTATGGGGTTTCCAACTTTTGGGCTTCTACTGTATAGGGAACTCCAGAAAGTTGGAATATGGTTTCAGGGTAGGATACCTTATAGTTTACCATAGAGGGCTTAGGATAATCATATTCCAACTTTCTGGCTTTCACCTTAGGGGGTTAGGGTTGAGGGTGCAAACTTGAAGCTGCCCGACCAAAAAGGCGGCTGTGCATCGCATCCAAGGGTTTATAGGGTTTAGCCTTACTATAGGAGCCCTAAATAATTACCTATACGATTTTGGGGGCTCCTTATTATTATAGTTATACTATAAAGGAGCCCCAAACCCTATTCCAATTATTAAGGCCCCTTAGTCGGAGTGGCGGGCCTAGGTTCAAGGTAAGGAAGGGTCGGATCTTGATGCTGCGCAGTCTCACGGCATCTCTGCAGTGGAAAACCGAGAAGAGTGTCTATTCCACCCAAAACCGAAAATGCAACCAATATCGCAGCCTTAAGAATTAGAACTGGCTTCTGGAGTGCATTCTAGCATGTATATATATATATATATATATATATATATATATATATATAAAGAAACAAGGACCCCTAATGAGCAGAGGATGACCTGTTCTCCAGGGTTCTAAACAAAATGCCTCTGACTGTAGCTTAGCCTGAAGCTGATTGAAAAACAATAGGGTTTCGGTGTCTATAACACTATGGCTATAGTTAAATTATAACGAGGAACCAATCAACGGTGTGGACCCCTCTTTTCAGCAGCACAAGCAGTGTTGATTGCGCAAGAGATCCTGCAATGAAGCCCCAAAACCCGGTTCAAAACCACGTCGTATCTAAACCCTAAACTCTAAAACCCTCAACCCTGAACGCTAAAGGGGTTCATAAACCCCTGCAACCCCCCTCAAGACCGCGTCGTATTTAAACCCTAGACTTTTAACCCAAAAAACCCTTGAAGGGCCAGTAAAACCCTTATAACCCCAAAATAACCCTACAATTACCCTAAACCCTAAACCCTAAACCCTAAACCCTTATAACCCCAAAATAACCCTACAATTTCTCATCTCTTTGGAGGTAGGCCAAGATCAGCTCGCCACTTCTTGAAGAAGGAGTAGAGGTCCCACTTCCTGTACAGCTGCCTCGGGATATTTCACAAGGGCATAGGGTTCCTTCGAAAGGATCTATTGGGGTTCCTCTAGGGGATCTACAATAGGGCTTGAAGGGTTTAGGGGTTTAGGGTTGAGAGTACTTCTGGTGCTAATCTTTTTTCGGCTGACGTTCAGGGATTGCGCTTTGGCTGGGTTGTACAGGATTTGCGGTTTAGGGTCTAGGATTTAGGGTCTAGGGTTTAGGGTTTTATGATTTAGGGTATCAATCTGTTGCTTTAGTTTCGGGCTCGCAGTGCAGGGCGCAAGTCTTAGGATGCTTCGACTGCAACATCCCTAAATCCTAAACCGCAAATCCTACACCCTAAACTCTAAATCCTAAACCCTCAAATCCTACACCCTAAGCTCTACATCCTAACCCCGCATCCGAAACCCTCAACCCAAATTTTATCAACCGAAACTCCTAAATCAAACCCCATAAAGTTGGAAACCTGGTTAAGGCCAAATAGTGCTGGGATTTTCTATACATTACTATTAAGGATTGAGGCTATGGGGTTTCCAACTTTTGGGCTTCTACTGTATATAAACCTTTTCGGGTAGCCGTATCGAAGCCCGGGGGGAGTCTCCCATATGACTTCAGTATGGCAGCCTCTATCCTGAAGGTAGCACGGTTTTGGGTTTAGGAATTCGATGGCTCGTTTTGCTTTTGATTTTAAGGGGCTCCGTTTTCCGACAAATCCGCTAGGTCGCTGAAGCGCCACATGGGAAAGGAGAGGTGGGCACCATGCTAGAGGTTGAGGGTTTAGGGGTTTATTGGGTTTTGGGGCTTAGGGCTTCTCAGGGTTTGGGGTGCAGAGTCATTGAGTCCAGCAAGGACTGCCGCTGCCTGAGAACTCCAGATAAGGTTTTCGGATATAACCATAACTTTGTAACACTTGCACCTTCAAGGGACGACTGGAACTATCAACTCCGTGATTCATGGAACCTCAATTGGATTTAGAAGCCTAACTTCCTGAACCCTAAACCTAAACAACTGATTCCGTAAGCCTGTAACCAGCCCTGAAGCAGTGAACCTGTCACCCCGAAATCAAACGAGTACTAACCGGGTAAACCGCCCAAGTTATGGCTTCTTCTATTTGCCCAAAGCATCCCAAGTACCTTACATAGTACAAAGCAGGGCATCTATGTTAGGATTCTGTACATCTCCCCTGTACAAGCTCGTGGGAACCGCTGGGTTTTCCATCCGGTCGAGCCACAAGGATTCTTTGAACTGCGTCGTGTGGGCTCGAGTCTGGAAACGATCGACCAGCCTGCACACGGGTTTAAGGCGAGGCTTAAAAGGGTTACGATTAGGGTCCAGCCAGCTTTGTACAGGGTTATGTAGTGCATGACCTCGCCCTTGCTCACAACGCTTCCTAATATGAACTATTCAGGCTCTTGTTCATGGGCGTCGGGCGCAGCTTTGTTTGCGGAGCTTAACTATTAACGTGGTCCAAGGGTTTTGGGTTTGGGGCGTATGTCTGCGACCTTTTGACACTAAGTGCCGGCGCTGTGACAAAAATACTTGGCCTTTCCCTGGGCATCAAAATAGCCCAAAAGCCTTACATAGTATGGTCTTTGGGCCCAAAAGCCTTAATATATGAGTGTTTCGATCCCTCGGGTTTTGAGACTGGCACTCGTGGCTCGGCAGGCAGCTTAGGGTCCTTAAGCTAATGCAGGATTTCTATCATCAACCGTAGTAGTAATCATTGGGGCCGTTTGCATCTCAGGGCTCTAGATCCCTAGCCTGCCTGAAAAATCCTGAAACCCTAAACCCCAAACCCGAAAACCCTCATCCCTGATCTACGGGCCTTAATAACTAGCATCGGGTTTGGGGGTCCAATATACTCTATTTATGATAAGGAAAGGAACCCCCCAAAACAACATCGTAAACCCAAAGACCCTACTTGGACCCTACTTGGATATAAGAAACGTATTTGTATCCTTTCGCTTAAGCCCTTCATCCTCGATCCTCCCCGAGCTCTTGCATCTCTCGGGCCTGGGATCCATCCAGTCTTTGATGTCCTCCGCTGGTGGGTTTGGGGTGTAGGGTTTTAGGGGGAAAGTGCTGGGTTTCATGCTGAAGGAATCTTACTGGCAAAAGATCCCACTATATAAACCCTAAATCCTACGGATCCCTTTACGGAACCCTATAGATCCCTTTAAGGAACCCTCGAAACCCCTACAGAACCCTTTTTAAAGGAAGCCTAAATCCTAAAAGTTCAGGGTTCGGTGCCCTAAACGCTACAAGTTCGGGGTACCCAGACCTTCCAAAATCACTTAATTAAGGAATATACCTTAAATTATATTAGGGATCCTACTATGATTTAGGGTATATTCCTTAGTTGAGGGGTATTAAAGCCTAGAAACTCTAAATCCTATAGATCCCTTTAAGGAACCCTATAGATCCCTTTAAGGAGCCCTTTAAGTAAGGGATTTTGGAAGGTCGGGGTAGCTCAAACTCCGGGCTTCAAGGATTCACAGTGCTGCGAAAAGGGATCCTACGGCTCGATGCACGGGGCTTCGGGTTTAGGGCTTAGGCTTACTGGTTTTTGGGGGTTAGGGGTGAGGGGTTTAGGGGTTTAGGGTTTAGAGGTTTAGGGGTTAGGGGTTTAGGGTTTAGGGGTGAGGGGTTTAGGGCTTAGGGTTTAGGGTTTTGGGGTTTAGGGGTTAGGGGTTTAGGGTTTAGGGGTTTAGGGGTTTAGAGGCAAGCTACATCGGTTTTACAGGTTCAAAGGTGAAGTGAAGCAAAGACTTAGCCGCTGCCAGGCCGCTCGTTGAGCGGGTTTCTGCCGCAGAAAAGCAGATACTACATAATGTAGGAACCTGATTAAGAAGCCTTGGGCCGTTATTAGGGTTCCTTATATGAATCCTACTATTTTGGGGTTATAGGCGTAGGGTTTCTTAATCAGCTTCCTACATTAGAGGTCCTAATACTATACTGCAAGTATGATAGGTAAGAATTCAGGGTTCTTTGTAAGCACATCACAGACGAAGTCAAGCAAGGGGTGTGCGTATGCATAGGTGCTAATTTTGTGGGGCTGCAAGTATTTGCAGGCAAAGCGGGCATGCCTGGTCAATCATGATGTGGGGCCGTGTGACGTAGAATAGAGTCTTGTGGTATGATATGGTATAGCTACATTGAGGAACCCTAAAGAACAATATTGCGATTCATCATGCCCTCCATGTTAACCCGCAATGCATCAGGATAACATGCTGCCCTCCGCATCTAAGCCCTTAACCCAAACATGCTGGGCTTGTCCTGCCATTCCTGTGCCTTGGTGAACTTCAAGACTTGTGCCACATTGCCTGAGTTCGGCGAAGTGTAAACCCCTGATCGACAAGAAACGTCGTTGAAGGCCACATCAACATAGATATACGTACATATGTGTGTGTGTGTATGTATTTAAATATGTTTGAACACCATGAGGACCTTTATTCCTTTCTGCATGGAAGGCGATCAATTGAAATCCCCATGGTTCCACACGGGCAATGAAAGGCTGCACTAAGCAGTAGAGCTTTTGTGGCGCGCAGATCGCTTGAAGTACGATATAGGCTAATTTAGGATCACCACTAACCCCGAAGCAAAAAGGGCTCCCTATTCAGTTGTCTAGACATGGACCCCAACAGTAGGTAGAATACAGGCCTTCTTTAGATGTTGGGCCACTATTTTACTTACTTTTGGGTTTAGGTCGGCTTAAGGGCGTAGGTTCGAGGTTTGGGGATTAGGGCTTAGCGTTACGGCTTTAGGGCTTAGGGCTCAGATTTATGATTTTGGGAGAAACCCCCTAAACCCTAAACCGGAAAGTCTAGGGCAGTCATCACCTGGTGGCCCCGGGCTTGGTGTACCATGTTTCAATTTTGAATTTAGGGTTTGCCCAAAAATCTTTCTTGTACATTCCTTTTGGGGGTACCCACACAGGATCCTAGCTATAAATCTCGCTAACCAAAAAAGGGTTTAGGGTTTAGGGTTCAGGGTTTAGGGTTTCGGGGAATCGAAGGAAAGTACAATGGAGACTGTAGGTACGTTTTCCATAAAGGTGCCAGGCTCTACGAGATCTTTTGAGCCTCAAGGGACGCGGCTGAGGACTGCGCCGTGTTCAAGAAGCTCCAATCAACACTTCAAGGAGCAAGTGCCTAACCGGCAAAATCTATATCTATATGATATCATTACTGCGATGAGTACGACTTCCGTGATTCTTGTCAGTTTTGTTCCCGCCGCTGTCACGTGTGCTGCTTTGACTATTGAGTGTTGTGGTTTTGCAACTGCTTCTTGCCACCTTTTCCGACTTTTTTACATGCGTGCAGCAAATGGCCTGGGTCTTTCTGTGGCAATCCCGCAATCCCCAAGTGTCCAAAGCATCGACATAGTAGACTGTGAGTTTTTTAAGTAGGAATGACTATTATGACTTGGGAAGGTACCCCCCCCCAATACAGGTAATTAGGCTCCTTTGGGAACTAACCCTGCAACCACCAAGGCACTGATGACGGTCACGCACCACTGGATCATCAAAAGGTTTGACATGGTCTTGAAGCGCTCCTGCCGTGGTGCACAGTAGGATTGAGAGTTACATATATAGGAGCCTTGATGATTGGAACAGGGCTCTCCGGTTGAGACACATAATTTCAGGAACAACTCTCGATTGAAAATTTCTAGCAAACGCTTTAGACGCTTTAGGGTTGAAGATATCGGGCTTTGGGGATTTTTGCTTCGGATGTGTCGATAGATGCTACAATAATGGTAGCAACGTCTCGCAAGCGGCTGCGTTGCTTCAGGAGGCATCCTTGCTTGGAGGATCATGGGACTTAGTAAGAAAGGTTGTCAGTGCACTAATTGGGGTTATAAACAGTTTTATATCTTATCAAAAAGCCTCATTACTAAATCCCATGATCCTCGAAGTACATGTCTTGAACAAGCGAGGTGAGGGTTTTGCGGGCAAAATGAGGGATCTCAGCTGTCACGAGGAATCCTGTGGACAAGCCAACACAAAGGGCCACAAAACAAAAGCAAGAAGCAAAACACGAACAATCTATCTTTCACCTGCTACAAGCACACCAATCTGAAACTACGCGTGTCTAAGGCCAGTGTAGGACTTCGGTTGGGGTTTAGGGCTTAGGGTTCAGGGTTTAGGGTTAGGATTTGGGGTTTACTGTATATGGGTTTAAGACCTAGGGTTTAGGGATAGGGTGTACTTATAATTAGGGCTTTGCCAAGCCCTCAACTCTTAGAGTCGGTCCCGATCAAGGGAAGGACCACCGTTCGCTTCGTAGCTGCTGGCAAAGGCCTCCAGGAACGCATCTCGATGCCTGGCCGCGCAGCGCTGATCGGTTTCGGTTTAAAGTTAAGGGTTAAGGGTTTGGGGTTCAGGGTTCAGGGTTTAGGATTTAGATGAGGTTACCCCCAGGATTGTAGTGAGGAAAGGCCCGATACTATGCTCTGAGGATGCTATGGAAATCTTTGCCGAAGTTCAAGCCTGCAGGTTCAGGGAGGGATTTCTCATGTAAGCCAAAGGAACGAGGGTTCAGGATTTGAGGCTTAGGGTTTAGGGCCAGAGGATTTGAGGGTATTGGGTGTCATTAGAGAGATGAGGCATCGTCAGACCACACTGGTGCCTCGGAAACAATACATGTTAGTAAGTATAGGGTTGGGGGGCCGGCATAGGGTTTACCTGCGGCACAGAAGACCTCCCCTTTCAAGGAACTATACATAGAAATCATAACAAGGAGCCGTCAAAAGGGTAGGTCTTTTCGGCTTCAGGTTTTAAGGTGTAGGGTTCAGAGCTTCTCTGGGAACTGTAGACTCTGTGCCTCTGGGCCGAGGAATGTGGCAGTGCCTACCAGCATGCAACCATGGTGATCAGAGTCGTAAGGAGCTGAAAATGCGAAACAGCGATAGTGATACGCAGAGTTATGTTATAATGCATGATAAACTACATAATTCCAATCATGGATTTAGGTCACATTCCGTGTGCTCCCCATGTACCATTCAGTGCTATAATCTAGAGGCATTAATAATTAGAATAGGGTTTTGGGGGTTATTGTGCTTTAATCACAATAAGGGACCCCGCAAGACTATGGAAATTATGGTACATTCCTTCTTATGGGTAATGCAGGATTTATATCATCAACAGTAGTATTGGTAATCAGTTAGGCCCCTACATGAGCCGAGCAGCTCCAGCAAAACTTCCGTGGATGCACCAGAGATGCAGCCTCTCAAGGGTTTAGGGCTTACCTGAACCCTAAACCCTAAAACCCTAAACCCTAAATCCTAAACCCTAAACCCTAAACCCCTATTATGGGTTCTCTCCTCGGTTTTGGGGGTTGATACGCTCGGGCTCTGGGTTCAAGGGCCAAGAGGGCTTAGGCTAAAAAAGGGGGTCTTTTAAAGGCCTTAGAGGGCTTGGCTTGAGCTTCTACTCTCGTGGGACAGCAACTTCAGGCTCAGGGTGCAGAGTCAGGGGTCATCTGGATAGGGCTTAGGGTTTAGGGTTTAGGGTTTCGTGGTTTAGGGTTTAGGTCTTGGGGTTTGGGGGCTTGGGGTTCCATGTATGATGGCAGGGACGCCAAGATTGCTGTTTGTTGGTCTTAGCCGCATGGCATGGCTGAAAGCAGAAGCCCTGAACCCTATGACCTGCCTTAGAAGCCCCAAGCCCAGACATCCCAGAATGCTAAACCACAACCCCTTCAAGCATGAATCCACGGGCCCAGTTCGCAAGAGGGTGCCTTGTACCGAGCCCGCCAGCGGACCACAGTTCAGAATACCTCGGGGTGCGCTCAAGAATTTCGACAGGGCAGGATTTCAGAATCTACAGTTTAGGGTTTTTTGGGGTTCAGGATTTAGGGGTTTAGGGTTTAGGGTAATCTACAGATATCTAGAGTTTCGGACTTTAAAGCTTATAAGGGAGGTGTAGACACATGTACCAACTTCGGGCGCGACAGTCCTTTAGGCCATACGTACCCCATAGAGCTTCTAATTCTACTTATAGTTTCCATTGCAGTTCCTTTATGGGATTACCTTTGGCTAAACCGAAAAACTATAGGTAGTTCACAAGGTGCGATGAACAAAAACCGTAGACTTCGAAGCGTCCAAGTACCCGATAAACATATACTCCCCCGCAGACGAATAGCCTACATAATCCTTTGAACCTAAATAATCCTTTGAACCTTTAGGGCAAGATTGACTGGACAACTGAGTCTCCGAAGACAGTGCCACATCTGAAAACTCCCAGAGGGTACGAGATCTCCAAACCCTGAAAAAAAGCGAAGAACTGTCACATAACACCTCTCACTCTCCAGCAGCGTAATCCTGAAAACTTCGCAAGAACAATCATATACTCCCTCAAATACACACCTACTGGTTTAGGGCTTCTACTTGGGGTGGCCACTATCCTGAACCCAAGCACCCAATTGCTGTGTACCTGGAACAATCGAGCCCAACAGGGCATTCCTGATGCCAGGCTGCCCCAGTCAAGCAGTCCTACTTCCACCTCGTTCTTCTCCTGAATCAAAGGGGAAAAGGAAGGACCCTTAACGGGGACCAGTACCCTATAATGGGATATATAATGGGTATAGAATAGCTGAAAAGGGTATATACCTGGGGGTCCTTGTTAAGGGTCCCTCCTTTTCCGCTTTGACTGAATGCGGTGCAGGGCTTCGGGGTTCATAGGGCTCAAGGTTTAGAGTTTAGGGTTCTGCGGTTCGGGTGCGGGTGTCATCAGGTCTAGGCTTCGTGGATGTTTGGGGTATGGAGGCGGGGAATGGGAGGGTTGGCTACGTCCCTTTGGGGCATGCGGGTGCCAGCCCAAATGTTGAAGTACATCTCGGTGCGCCCGCCTTGTCTTGATAGTAGCCTATAAGCCGCATCAGACCCAGAAGGAACGCATTCATGTTAAGTACCTGATATTGCGCAAACTGGAACCTGCTTCTCAAGTAACGACCCGATCGAAATATGTGATTGAAAGTCGAATAATTAGGAGTTAGGATTAAGGGGACAGAGCGGATAGAGAGCCAGAAGTGAGGTTAAGACGGGTCCCCTTTAAGGGGTCTTCGGCATCAGCGATTGTCAAGGGCCTTTTCTTCCTTGAAACCCTATAAACCCTAAACATCCCTAAGCCCTCTAGCCTCACAATTAGGTGTGCAGTGTCGCGTGCTCAAGCTTCTTGGGCCATGCAGCCCCAAAGCACAAAGCCCTGTCTAAAACTGTCCACTAATTTGCGTAGGTTCTTATATCTGCATATATACACTATGAACCCAAATCCAGATTGTTTGAGGAACCCTCCTGTGGGTGTTGGTAGTTCAACGTAATCAAAATCCGATGTTGGCGTGAATGTTGCAGCTCAATCTCGGCACTTAGACTCGCCACACCAACATCGCAGCTACTTGGGGCCCACGCATTGCGCCAGAAGAAAGCCTGGGACCATTGGGATGACTAGGCTCTCATTTCGAGCGCAAGACGAAGGGCAGATTGTCCATCAAGCATACAGAACCCGGCCACCCGGATACCCAAGAAGGCCTTCACGTGCTAGTTTAGTGGACCCATAGTGGTCATCGTGTCAAGATTTTTGGGATTTGTTTTGGCTCCTTTTCTACAAGTGTCTTGCTTTCTTGCGGGCGGTGCATAGCTAGATAAGGTTTGGGGTTATAGGGTTCATTACAAATGAAGAGCCAGCACAAACCTGGAATTTCCTGGGTCCGCTTGTAGTTGTCCAGCTTTCAACACAAGGCCTAACCCCTGAACCAAATACCCTAAACCCTAAACCCTAAACCCTAAAACCCTAAACCCCTAAACCCTAAACCCTAAGGGTCCATGAAGCCTGACTGGCTCATTCTCCGAACCCCCGTTCTTTTGACAAAGCCAACAGTTGCAAAGGGCTAATAACAGAAGAGCTATGAACCCCCAGTTTACCCGTGCCACCTTTATAGCTTCAAACTTAACTGAGTTGTCCTTGAAGCCCTTTGAAATTATTTACTATTATGGGTCTCTACAAAACAGTAGGGGAAATTAAAACAGATCCCAAAGGACAACCCTGTTAAACTTACAAACCCGGAAGGCTTACAGACGTGTTCATCTGTCCTGGGCCCCCCCCCGAGCCGAACTCTGCACTCAAAACCAGACCCTACCTACACCCTGAATAACCTACCTGTTTAAGGACTTTTATGGTTGTCAAAACTATGGTCCGTTTTTGGGTACCCTAAATATTAGGTGCCGTACTATATTAGGGACCCAAAAAAGGGACCATAATTTTGACAACCACCCATACAAGCAAATCATGATAAGGAGCCCTAACAAGGTAGGTTTTTCAGGGTTGAGGTACACCCTACCCAGAGGCCCCAAAGTAGTTCCTTTTTGGGACTGCCCTATAGGATTCTATATATGAGCCCCAAAAAGGAACTATTTTGGGGCCTTAGGGTAATTATAAGCCTTGGTTCAAAACCTGCCAGCACCTAGAGAGAACCCCTCAAGAGGATTCCAAGAGACCCGAAGCCCTATGATTTCTACACGTTGCACGCAAAGCCCTGAAGCGTGTAGACCCGAAAAGCCCGAACCCTAAGGGTCCATGTACTCATATAGTATATACATTGGCCTTAATGTAGTCCCTATATAGGTACTTTGGGGCCCATGTATCTCTGTATGGGCACATGGACCCTTAGGGGAAGCTGTAAACCTGTGACATCCAGGGCACGTTGTCAATCTGGAGGTTGTTGTGCGTCAGGCCCACCTTCGTTGTCCAGGCCACTACCCAGAGAGCTTAAATTAAAGCAACATACCTTAAATTATAAGTGGCTTCATATATATATATATATATAAAATATAAAATATATATATATATATACTATGATCTAAGCTATATTCCTTACTTAAGGGGTATTGGGCTCTCAAGGTAAACCGTAATCCGAAGGGCTCTCAAGGCCTGGTGGTGAACCAAAGAGTAATGCGGCTAGCCGCGTAGTCGTGGGGATTCGCTGTCTCGGCTCCAGAAAGGAAGCCTGGTTGGTAGAAAGGTTTAGGGTTTAGGGCAAGGGGTTCAGGGTTTGCAAGTTCAGGGTTTAGGATTCAGGCAATGTAGGGGTCAGAACAGTATTGCAATTGAATTTCCCAAACCCACGCTGATTCCAGAACCGCCTTTGGAAGAACGACAAAACGAATTTTCCTATACCCCCCTTAGAACCATAATAAAACAAACGTGGTTAATATTCTCTTGGGTCTTATATGAGCAAATTTACAGAAATAATTCCTAAGGAGACTATGGTTTCTGCTGCAGAAGAACATCCGGCATGTGACGCCCACCCGACAGACAGGATGGGTGGGCGGGGATCTTGGAAAGGGCCTGTTCTCCCAATGCCGTCCGGCCAATTGGAATGCGAGTGGAGGCCGTGTGTTTTTGAAGCTCCGTACCTTAGCAACATCTACGCTCAGTACGTGGCTTTGCGGATTGGCCCTGTTTAAAAATGGAAACATCATTGAAGGTAATGGTAGCTTGACAACATTTGCCTCGGTACGTGGTTTTGAGGATTTGCCGTGAATGATTTTCTGGAAAGACTTTCAAAATCATTTCAGGTAAAGGTAGCTTGGCAACATTTGCGCTCGGTGTGCAGCTGCGGGGCCTGCCTTGGCTGATGTTCTGGAAAGGTTGTGACATTCATGTAAGACCTCCTTGCAGCAGCTCGCCATCGTTCGACAGGACCAGGCAGTCGGGATGATTGTCTCTGTCTTATAGCTGAGGCTTTACCAGCCAAAGGCTTGATTCAGGCCCAGAGGTGCAAGGACAAGCTCTTAGACACACTCGAATTACGTTCACTAAGGTGAACTGGTAGCCAGCCCAGGATGAGCCAACCAGCCAATAGTTTACCTAGGTTTCTCAGTAGTCCCTCAGTAAATGAGACTGGTACGCCTGGTAAATACGGGTACCCTTGTTCCTACTATTTGGCTTCAAAAAGGGAATCCAAAAGCAAAAGGGTCACAAGGCCACGACCGGGGATTCAAAAAACAGTTGGCACAAGGAAAATCAGTGGCGAGTGTTGGGATGATTTTTGTTCTTATGTTTAAGGGTCTGGGGAGCTTTAGATCTGAAGCCTTTCGGATGCTGATTCCAAACGCTAGCGCTTGAGATTCAAGCAACTAAGCCCGACAGTCCCACAATGACCTCAGACAAGCGTCACCTGAACAGGGTTCTTGCCAAGGAACTTAATTCAACTTTCCATCGCAGGAATCTGTAATTAGCAAAATAGGTTCCTTATTGTGGTAACTCGAACTCGATTCCTGAAGAAGAACCCTCGTGGTCCCTCAGGGGCTGAGTACCCTACCTAGCCGAAGAAAGCTTAACCTCTTCAAGTCCGGTAGGGCCTGAAAGGGTTACTATACTAAACTTAAAACCCTAGCAAAAATTACAATTTTAGCTGTTTCTTAGGGATTATAATAACCAAAAATTACGTTTTTCCTAAGTACCCCTAAGGTAGGGTTATGCAAACCCCAAAAACGTTCAAGGGTGCCGACTCAGCTACTGCGATCCTGATGCTTCTGAGAGCAATCCACAGGTCAGGGGTGACTAGGCTGTTCAGTATCCCACGGCGGAAAAAGTATATACTTGTTTAGGCTTCTTATTTTGTAGTAGGAACCCAGAAACCTGAAAGTAAAAAAGGGTAACACTGAACAGCCTGGGTGAAACATATAGTTATGAGATCCAAAGCTCAGGTCTATGTTCGGCCCAAAACCCCGAACCTCGAAACCTCAAACGCCCAAACCCCGCAACTTGAAAAGCTTAGCAGGGACAGCAACCAACACAACAAGCTAGAGAGCTTCGCTCCAGTCTCGAAAGAATCTGAAGCCCGGAAGGCTGCAGGGAGTCAGGCTGTGAAACGTCCCGAGCTTCTGTGCAACATAGGACAAGGGTTCATAGATTCTGGCTTATGTAGGCCTTCGAGTGTCATGGGCTTCGGGTCTACTGCATGGGCCAACGAATAAGTCCCAAAACTCAATTTACCCGGCCTGCCAACGGTAAACAAAACCAAGGACAAGCATGCAGGACCTGGCCTAGAAGGTGATGTGATATCATGTACTCCATCCCATTTACGGCGCCTTGCAGTAAGTTTGCCAGCATCTGCAACGCGGAGGAAAATACGTTCTCGACTTGTGAATCTATCCGAATCAAGAAAGCTTTGAGTGCTCATAAAAGAACATAGAGTCCTAAAGGCCGTCGGCTTCAGCGTATTAGTAGCGGCGAAGAGATGTGGTCTCTAGGGGTTGAACATTCAAACTTAGTACTTCTTTGGGCAATCGGACGTAGATTTAAGACTTGGGGGGTTGCAGGTTCCACGAACGGCAAAACCATCGGCCAAGCAGCAATGCATCTCACCCTGGTAATCCTCGGATTGTGGGTTTTAAAGGCACCACATCTACCACCGGGCAAAGGAAACGCGATTCTATCGGCACCTGAGGGTTTAGGCTCTCACGGCTTCAGGGTTTTATAGGCTTTAGGGATCGAGGGTTAGGGTTTCGGAGTTTCAAGGATGATTTCTGGCTTTCGGCAGAACTTGGCCCCCCAGCACATGATTCTCGGTTCTTGCTTGAGGTGCTCCGTTTAAGTTACCATAATAGGGATCTACTGCAAGTCATAGGCTTTCTTCATGGTAACTAGACTTAGAGACTGCTTAGCAAGAACACCTCAACCCTAAACGCTAAACTATGTGATGTTAAACTAAGTTCTTTAACAAAACCTTAAACCGCAATTCATAGAAACTTAACCTACATTCCTTAAGCCGCAATTTATGGTCACTTTTAACTAAGTTCCCTAACAGGAGCCCAAGGTTGTGGACGGGGCGCCGCGATCTCGAGAAGCTCTTCCTTCCACTTGGACAGGAATAGCGGGTCCGTGATCTCCTGGCAAAGGACCACTATTATTGTTATTACTATTGTTATGATTATTGTTATTAGAATTATTGTTATGATTATTGTCATTATTGTTGTTGTTATTATAATCATTAGTATGATTATAGTATAATGGCTTCTGATAATTAAGGCCCCTACATTACAGTACCCTTATAGAAACTCTTTCAATGACCCGCTTAAAGGAGCCCCGTGGGTCCGTGATCTCCTGGCAAAGGACCAAAGAGAGTCAACCGAAAAGAACTTACCCATAGACCCCATAATAGTTCCTCTTTGGGGGGTTCATACTTACAAGTCTACATATGGGGTCTATGCGTAAACCCACGGTCAAGGTTTTGGCTTTAGTGTTTAGTAAGGACCCCAAATGAGGTACCCCAACATTTAAGAACGACCTAGAGCTAACCCCTGAACCCTGAACACACACACCCTCATACTACACGGTGCAAATCTTAAACCTACACACAACCTCAACCTTGAAGCCCTAATACTAAACCGGGACCCCAAATCCCAAATCTACACTAAACCTTTACCTTAAGACCCAGTATGGGTTCATGGACTTTCGAGGTCTCCTCTGGAAATACTGCTCGGGCGGTCTCAGAGACCTTGGAACGAGGCATCCAATTGCTCTTCCAGGATAAAGACTAAAGGTTTAGCCCTGAGGGCTTTGGGGGTCTAGGGTTTAAGGGCTTAGGGGTTTAGGGTTCGAGGGTTAGGGGTTTAGGGTTTAGGGGTTTTGGGTTTTAGGGTTCAGGGCTTAGGGCTCAATTTGGGTTTAGGGTGCCCGTTTGCCTTTTGTGATTATAACATGAATTAGTGCTCTAGGTTCGGCTCGATGACTCGGGGTGCAGAATCTCGGGCTTACGGTTGCCTGCACAGTGTTTAGGTTTAGGTAGGTCGCACTGTTTCGTGGCTGTTTGGTACTCCCAGTCCCTGGACCCTCAAGAGCCTACCTTGTCAAGGACCTATGAGGCAATCATAATAATAATAATACGGAGCTCTACAAAGGCAGGCTATGGTTACGGTATTAACATAAGCATGCTTTGCCGTCATGTCTTCACGAACTGGGCAGGTTTCACTATTGTGCCAACACGTCGGGAACCTCCTGTCCGGAGGGCCGGCATAGCCATCGGAGCCCTCGGAACCGCTCCTGAACATAGGGCTATTGCCGGTCCAGCTCCACGGCCCTGGATCGTCGTGGCCGTCGGTGACCCTCTCGAGCCTGTCCTGAGGCGGTCGCGGATGCGTTGGTACGCGTCTAGCTGAGGACGCGGCCGTGGTATCCACTGGCCGTCTTTGCGGGACGCTTGGATGGCCGCTGCCACCTGTTCGGCCTCATGTTGTCGCTCCCGACTCGCTTGCTCTGCAATTCCAGGCCTGCATACCTCGTCCATGGACAGCTCGTCCGCATCGGCTGGCTGTTTCGCTCCTAAACCGAGACACCCAAAACCCAAAACCCTGGAGCCTAAACCCTTAGGCCTCAACCCTAAACCCCTGTTTGAAGGCCTTGAAATGGTTTTGGGCATAGTGTTGTAGGGTTTACAGGATTTAGGGAACCCTAATAACCCTAAACCCTAAACTCCTAAAACCTAAACTCGTAAACCCTAAACCCTAAACTCCTAAACCCGAAACTAGTTACTCTAGGCCGGGCTTTGCATCTTTGCTTGTGTTCTCTCCTTCGGGGTCTCCGAATGTGTTTCGGGACCTGGGATCGGCCCAGCTGTGGCTAAAAGAGAGGGCTCTCATTTCAGTTAGGGTTTAGGGTTTAGGGTTTCGGCAACTACTATACTGTGGATTAAAGTTTAGGGTTTAGGGCTCGAATCGAAGGGGCATATGCGGTTCAGGGCTTAGGGTATCATCGGCCACCAATCTTTCTCGCAAAGGGTCCTATGTACCGATATAGTAGGATGTAGGGCTTCCATTTTAAGAACTACTATTATGACTTAGGGAAGCATCCCCCATAACAGGACATAGGACCCTTTGGGTCTTACAAACCAGCTCTAAGTGGAGCCCTGCGGTTTAGCCGTGCAAACAGCTGTCTGAGACCTGACCCCGCGACAGCTACAAAACCACCACATGGGAGTTTCCGAAAATAGGGGACCCTAATATAGTACCCTGAATAGTAGGATCCTTATTATAGGAACCCCAAAATAAGGTACCCCTAATTTCCGGAAACCACCACATGCACACACTCAAACTATCGAAAGATACAACCCAAAACCTAAGCCCCGAAACCTGTAAAGCCAAAGAAACTCGTGTACAAACCTGGCGCGGAGGCTGGCATTCAGCATATCTCAGATCTTCGCAGTATCGAACTGCAGCCGAGCAACGAAGCGGATCAACCTGAGTGGGCCGGCAAACCCTACATGTTCTTGGTATACCTCTTAGCATCTGGTATTATATAGTACCCGGTAATTAGGGCATTGCCCTACTATGTTTGTGGTTCGGGGCAGATAGGACGGGTCTGCGCAATGTGGGACGTCATAGCTGGAAAACAGCACACCTAGACATTGCGGGGTTTAGGACTTAAGGTTTAGGACATCCGAAAAGGCCATGAGCCCTAACACCGCATCAGGCCTGATTTCACAGCAAAGACGACTCACGCTCAGTCCACGGCATCACTTGATCGCTCTTGCCTACTTAGACTGAATGATCGACATTCGCGTCGATGTGACGTTGCTCGTGACTACCATGCTGACATGATGGTGATGATGACGGTGGTGGAGGTGGTGATGATGACGGTGACGGTGGTGAAAGCTGTTGATGATGATGGTGATGACGACAGCTTGGCGATGACCAGAAACCCTGAGCACATGCCACGAAACTGCAAACCAAAAATTGCAAACTGTCTACCCAAGCTTCGTAAACACTTATTTCCTGAAGTCTACACCTCGAAACCTGAAACCTATCTGCTGTAAGGAAACATACTCGAACTATTCAGAGCCCCACTGAACCCTAACCCTACACTGGCCTACACCCTCAAAGCAAACAGCAAAAACCTAAACCCTAAAGCCCTAAACCCTTCAGCCTTAAAGCGCTAACCCCCCCCCCCCCCCCCCCCCCCCCCCCCCCCCCAAAAAAAAAACAACAAACTTGAGCCGTCGGGTCACTGGTCCGCCTTAGCGCTGGTCTGCTTCCGCGTAAGGTCGTCCAACCCCGGCAGTGGGGGAATCTGGGGCCTCATACAGGTTTATAGGCTATATATAAGTTTAGGATTCAAGGTATCTGAGGCCCAAGGAAGGTTGAAGGCGTAGGGGCTAACATGGGGGCCATGCCTAGAAAAGAAGTTCTTTTCGGGTTTTGGATCTTCGGGGTTTTGCTGTGTGGGGTTTCGGGTGGTGTCATCGTCATTCAGAGTGCTGGTGGGAGATCTCTTGATGAGATCAAAGGAAAAGCCTTCGCAGCATGATGGGGTTTATCTTTGGCGATGCATGTGAAGTCGTGCAGGTTTCACTTCTCCTAGGTCCCGAAAGGTTCACTTGCCCCAAAGCTATTCAGCACTTAAGTGCCAGGTCCTAAGTAGAACCTTGACCCTGAATAACCTACCTCTTCAAGGACATATATAAGGAAACAATAATAAGAAGGAGCCCTAAAAAGGTAGGTTTTTCAGTGTTAAGGAATAGTCCAGTCGCAGAAATCTGAACGTGGCCCGTCATGCCCAGGTTCCTAGCGTTCCGTCCGAACCCTTTGCTTTGCAAACGGTTGCTTTAAGCTGCGAGTGTTAGGGTTTAAGGTTTAGGGTTTAGGGTTTAGGGGTTTAGGGTTTAGGGTTTAGGGTGTTAGGGTTTGAATAGGAGTTCGTACAAATCCCTAAGCTCTCTGAAGCTGCGAGTTCCTCTACGAATCCTGAGTCCCCACGCCCTTTTAAGCTGCGAGTTTTGGGGCTTAGGGTCTCATACTCTTGACAGACCCCTCGTTAACGACAAAAGCCTTCTACGCAGCACTGAACCGCCCTAAAGCTGAGCCATCAGACAGACAAGCGGGGCGCCCACGTCTATCTTCTCAATAGAAGACACTATACCGACTATACCATACTTCAATTTCGCTTCCCAAAAACAATAAACATGATCGTATGTTCTGACGGGAATGATGATCTAGAATATACCATGATAACTTCCGGGTAGAAGGGCTGCAAGCGTCTTTGAGACGTTGCATCTCGAGCTTTGCAGGTTCGGAATTGGGGTAAGTCAGACTCACTCAAGACCAGAGCCCCAGACCTTCCAATATCGCTTAAATTAGGAAGATTACTGAAACTATACAAGGCATCGTGGTAATTAAGGAAGATACCTGAAATTATGGTAGGGATCCTATGATAGTTGAGGGTATATTCCTTGACTTAAGGATTTTTGAAAAGATCTGGGGTCAGAAAACCCTGAATGCCGCCAGGTCACACTGGGTCGGGCATTGGAAACATCTCCTCAGCTACACCCCTAAGCCTGAGCCTCCCTAAGTCTTCCGAAACCCTTAAGGCCCAAAATCCTAAATTCCTAAATCTCTAAATTCCTAAACCTCTAAGCCTCTATCCCTAGATCCCGGAAGGCCCTATAATCCTAAATTCCTGAATCTCTAAACCCTACTGTAAACCTCTAAACCTCTAAGTCTTGTGTCCACAAAACGATTCAAGTCCGGAGCTTCATGAGGGCTTGATCTGGTGCTCGTGTCCTTGAACAGGTAGTAGCAGTAGCAGCACTAGCAGCAGTAGTCGTCGTCGTCGTAGTAGTAGTAGTACTAGTAGTAGTAGTAGTAGTAGTAGTAGTAGTAGTAGTAGTAGTAGCAGTAGCAGTAGCAGTAGCAGTAGTAGTAGTAGTAGTAGTAGTAGCAGTAGTAGTAGTAGCAGTAGTAGTAGTAGTAGCAGTAGTGGTGCTAGTCGTAGTCGTCGTCATCGTCTTAGTAGCAGTAGCAACACCAGAAAGACTTGAGATATACAGTTCGACACCCAGACCAGTCAAGTGGCATCCACCTTTGGGTGGAGACGTTTCTGCTTGTGGTAAGCAGCCATTTTGCCAAGAGCCCGGCAGCAGGCAGAGTAGTACCTTGCACAAGATGTGAAAGGATCCAGGGTTTGGTTTGCCCAACACCGCACATATACCCTGCAGAAGCAGTTTTTAGTTTCGGATCTGAAATGGTGTTCGAGCGAATCGCACTTGCTTTCGGGCACAAAGTAAACAGCCCGATGTTAACGGATGGTGCTTCAAGGATAAGAGTGCTCCGAAAGCCAGTCTGTAACATCACAGCTTACACGTGTGAAGAGTATGACGAAGACGGTTCTGAAAGAAGGAAGGCGGCTTTCAGAAACCCTGCTTTTCTGAATTAATCCTACGGAAGCCCAAGCACCGTACCAGAGCCGAGAATGAACTATGGCTGGACAATTGAACCCAAACGCTGGGCCCGATCAACATATATCAAAGGGGAAAAGGAGGGAACCTTAATGGGGACCCCTACCCTATGATGGGCTATGTAATGGGTATATACTAGCTATATTAAGGGTATATAACTAGGGGTCCTCATTAAGGGTCCCTCCTTTTACCCCAAGAGCCGCACGCTCCAATTCGAAAGCCCGAAACCCTGAAATCCCAATACCCCTTGATTAAGGAATATGCCGCAAATTATCATAAGATCCCTAATATGATTTAAGGTATATTCCTTAATTAAGGGATATTGGGTTCTCTGAAAAACCCTGAAATGCTTAAACTCCAGAAGCCTTCTACACTCCCAAACTCAACAAGCATAGCGTAAACCCCAAAAGCCCGCCAACAGCAACCAAGAACACCTCCACAACTTACAGTAGGGCTCTGGGGTATAGTAAGCGAAACTTCACACAATCAGCCCTAGCACCTAGTGTTGCTAATTATGCAAGCCCCTCTTGTAACTTTCTTTTTAATAGGTTACGAAAAGGCTCCCTTGGTAGATTCATAAGGAACCTAAGGCCACAAAAACAGGGCCCAACCTAAACCCTAAACCGCTAAACCATCATAGCCCTAAACCCTACTGAACCTCTTAAAAGGACCAAATCTGATTGACATCAGGCCCTAAACCCTACTAAACCTCTTAGAAAGACCAAATCTGATTGAAATCATAGACCCCAAAACCCTACTAAACCTCTTAGAAGGAGGACCAAATCTGATTGAAATCAGGGCGTCACTCTTACAAGGGCTGAGACGCATCGGTCCTCCGTCTGGCAACTCCCAGTCCTCGCGGTTGACAATATAAATCCTGGGGTTCCTTTCTATAAGGGTACCTTGAAGGGGTTCCTTTAAGGGATCTATAATAGGGTTTAGGGTTTTTGGTTGATGATGTATAAACCCTGCATTACCCATAATAAGGAATATACCATAATTCCCACAGTTTAGGGTCCTTAAGGTAATGCAGGATTTATATCATCAACCGTCGCGGTTGAGGTTCAGGGATTTGGGGGTTTTGGGGGTTTGGGTTTTGTTTTAAGGGTTTAGGGGGGTTTAGGGTTTAGTGGATTTATTGTTCAGGGCTTAGGAGTTTGGGGTTACGTGTTTACGGTGTAGGGTTGAAGGCGTTTAATGTCTTGGGGTTTGCAAGCATTCGGGATTGACGGCTTGAAGGCTCTAGTGCATAGGGTGATGCTTGGACCAATGAAGATAGATTTGCTTTCGGGCATGGCTACGGCTTAGCATTTTGGGGCTATCTCTGAAACATAAGTGCTGCATCGAGGTCCGCTGACAGTAAACCACCCCATCAAATCCTGAAGTCCCAAACCGCTAAACCCTAAACCCGAATTCCAAACCTCAAAGCCTCAGCTCAGAGACGATTTCCCTACATGGACCCGAATCGTAAATACTTTTGGCCTTGAGGTAGTCCTTATATAGGTACTTGAGACCCAAAGTATATGCATATATATATAAATACACACACATGTAATTATATATGGGTGGTTGTTATAAATATTAGGTGCCGTACTATAATAGGGACCCAAAAAGGGACCCAGGCCCTAAGCTTGACAACCACCCACATATTATATTTTCGGACACATGGACCCTTAGGGTTTAGGTCCGGCCTTGTACTTGTCGTACGCAGGCTCGATCTCCCCTGGTTGGAACTCCTTCTTCGCCTTCCTGGGACCCGTTCCGCACTTTGAGTTTCCGGTGTTCAGGGTTTAGAGCTTAGGAGGGTCTTTTCTGACAGGTTTCCTGGGGGATTTGAAAGATAAAACACTGATTCCGCAGTTCGACATGCTTAACTCCCTAGATCACTTGATCCTGAAATTCCCTCTCAACCCTAGAGGCCCCAAGCCCTAAACGCCAGCTGTGGAGTTCCGGGCCTTTCAGCCGTTTAGTGCGTCGTTGCAGATACTCTGCGATGGAACCTTGAGGCCCGTAATCCTGCCAGGCTTCAACCGAGACTCAACCATAAACCCCAAGCCCAAAATCCCACCAGTCTCCACACAAAGCCCGAATGCTGCAACAAACAGCTAGACCTAAACCACCCCCGAACTCCAAATTCAAACCCAATTTACCTTCAATATCAAAACCCCCATAGCCCCTAAACCCCCTAAGCCCCAAACCCCCAAACCCCTAAACCCCTGAACCCTCAACCCCTAAACCCCTTCCCCAAAACCCGAAAACCTAATCCCCAAACCGACTGCCCAGTGTCTCTGCCCAGGATAGAGCTTCGGTAATCAGCACGAAGTTCGTCGTTGCTGCCGAGATGTCCTTCGACAAGTCGCTGAGGGATTTAGGGTTTAAGGGTCTAGGGTGTAGAGGGATTTAGGGTTTAGGGTGGAGGGATTTAGGGTTTAAGGGTCTAGGGTGTAGGGTTTAGCGATACGTACACTGATTAGAGTTTCAGGAAATGGGGGAGGGGGGGTGCGAATATAAGCCGCAAACCTCCATGACTCCCAAAGACCTTCAACCCCAAACCAAAGGCACTAAACCTCAAAGACCTACAGACTAAGCCGACTAAGCCCTTTGCAACTCCAAGCCCCAGCGCCCTAAAGCCCCAAAGCCTTAAAGCCATGACCCCCACCCCCCCCCCCAAAGCTTAAAAATGCCCTGCTTTTGCTGAGTCCAGACTCCAGACCTTCTAAATCGCATTTTTAAGGATCCTGCTATAATTTAGATGTTGGGTTTAGGGCTTAAGGATTTTAGGGTTTAGGATTTTAAGGATCCGGGAAGGTCTGGGATCTTTCCGCCATGGCGCCCCAAAGTAGCACTTCGGCACACGAAAAGGAACCGACTCCTTGGTGCGGACTCGGGGTTTAGGGTTTAGGGGTCCAGGGGTTTAGGGCTTAGGGGTTTAGGGTTTAGGGTGCAGAGGTTCAGGGTTTAGGATCTAGAGGTTTAGGGTTTAGGGGTTCGGGGTTCGGGGTTTAGGGTCTAGGGGTTTAGGGTTGAGGGGCTCAGAGTTTAGTAGCTCGGCGTAGGGGAACTGACTTGGGTGTTGGGAATTGTCTGTTATTAGATAGGACCCCTCAAAAGCACATAAGCAAAAATCAGGATAGGGATATCCCATATGAATCCCCTTATCATGAAGCCCAATCATGTAAGGACATCCCCATAACATGTCCATGCTTATGTGCTTTCTGGGTCCCTAATTAGTACTGTTTGGAGGTTAAGGTTCAGAAGGCCCAAAGGATTTTGATTATGTGTATATATGTAGCTGTTCACCGCTTAAGCTTAAATACATAGACAATATGTACGTACATAACCTAATGCATGAACAAACACAAGCTGTACATACATGCCCGTTAGTGATTGAACAACTACAACTCTCTCTCTCTCTCTCTCTCTTTCTCTCTCTCTCTCTCTCTCTCTCTCTCTCTCTCTCTCTCTCGCTTCATAAGTACATAATTATGAGGATATGTACACTGTACATGTAATTATATATATATATATATATATATATATATATATACTTACATGCTGGCATGCATATACATACATACAGATCTCTGTGTGTACAGGCGCGTTAACTGTTTCGGGTTTACGGGGCCCAGCATTCTAGCTTTGGGGCATCGGCGGTGCATGAGGTTGGGTGCGTGTCGCGAAGTCTATGCCGGAAAACAACAGATTTCAGAGAAGGCAGACGGCCTGGCAGTCTAGTGAGTCGCTGGGCCCACAGTGCTACGAATGCTGTTGAGAGGTTAGGGTCTGGGCCCTAAACCCTAAATCCATGGCTGAGGAATCCCCGAGTTGGTCATTGACTAAGCAGAATGCCACTTCTAAGTGTTTCCAAGCCGGTTCTCATAATCCTGAAGGATCTTATACGGGATTCGTGAAAGGCTTCGGTTTGAGGTTGTCGGTCTCTGGAAGGTTTCCTAGAAGACTTCCGTCAAGGGTCTGTAATCTGGCAGGGATGCTGGGTATAAAACCGCAACGTCAGCAAGGTGTTAGTCTTTGGCCGAAATCGCTAGTACCTTCAACACCAAACCAACATCCTTGGTGCTAAACTTTATGCCTAAAACCTAAAACAAGCAAACTCTGAACCGCCGACAGTTCTACGTTCCCCCGACTCAAAAAAGAAAGCTTATCGGCACCAGGACTCCTGGAGGAAGATATTGAAGACGATCTCCGGCCTACGAGAAAGTTGCGCCGAAGTTAGTGTCTAAAAGGATCGCGACGACAGAAGAGCATATTCAGTCTTCACCTGAATCAACTACCATTCACCTACGTTGTTGTCATGTCAATCTTGTTACGAATGTTGTACCTACCAACTGATTAATAATCAGGATTCCGCGACAAAGCTACTCATGCAATTTTATGTTGGATTCGCTGTCGCTGTTGCTATTAGGAACGGTAGGATCATGATGGCGCTCGTTGTGCCTCAAATGCAGTAGTCGTCGTCTTGGAAAAGCCAGCGGTTGGTGGCTGGGTGTTCCGTCAATCTAGACCCCGCTTACACATACGAGATGGTAATGAAGAGCCCAAGGACGATTCTCGTAGCGCCCTTCAACCTAGCAAAGACCTGCGCACTGTTTCTCCAGAGCGGTTGGGTTTCGTGCAGGGATCTTGAAGTTCGGTGCATTTAGAGCAATCGCACCACTCGGAAGGAGAGGATGGTGAAATCTTCGGTTGGGAGAGCCTCACGCCCCATGCTGGTCCCGCAGTGGCTCAACATGGTGCAGAGGTAATTTATCAGAAGTTCTGAGCCAACCTGGCAGACTGAATAATTGTTGATCCGACATCGAACACACGCCCCTTCCCCCATCGAAGTATTCGATGGGCCCCACCTGTCGTGATTCCACATGCAGGAGACGTAGTATCCTGACATGCTCGCAACTGTGCAGGAGTTACTGGGTTCTTGTTCAGCAACTTCATTCAATCCAAAACCCAACGAACATGATGGTGTTTCCATATGATAACTGAATCTCAGCAGCTGGTTACCAAGGCGAAAACTATGGACTCTTCGGAGAAGAGCAGCGACTCAAATCGCCTCCCCGACTCAAAGTTCCCACCTCCTGCAGCTGAGCCCTATAGACCCTGAACCCTATACTCGGTGTCGAGTTCAACAGTCCCCAAAATCATCTACGACTCGGGCTTTGTATCCGGCAGTAAGGAAGTTTGAACATTATCTCAAACATATACCTAGTATACACCCGCGAAGCTGCTCAGGTTGCAAGCTGAACATGCGATCCCATGACGAAAGCTTCAAGACGTAAGCATGACCTGCAAGCCCGGGAAGAAGCGGGGTCATCTGTATAGCTCCTTGTCCCCCCGAGCACCATCATCAATAATATCCTAAGCTGATCATCGTCACATCATGGCCAACGTCGCCGCCACGACTATCAGCATCATCCTGATCATCATCATGGTCATGATCATCATCAACGTCTTGACTTCTCTTACACCGACCTTTCTAAGCTACAACGTCAACAGTGCAGATGTCGTCTCATTCTCATGCCTTGTCGACAGGCAAACAGGAAGAATGTAGGGGCCCCAATAATAGAAAAGAGTTTGGAGGGATATTATAGAGACTGACCTCCAGGAATAGAGACTATTCGATCTGCTGAGCTTGCAACAGCCAAAGAACCCTGCACCATCAACGCCGCTCTAGACCCGGAGCCCGCTCCACATGAACATGCGGCGAGGAAGCGATCTGAACCGCCCGGCTTGTGAGGGAGCTTGGCAAACAGCTTCTTGTGCAAGTAAGGTGCATCCTTCTTGTACTCCACCTTCAAACAAGTATAGCTGCGTACGGTATAGACATAGCAGGACGTGACTTGCATATGCAGTATGATCATGTCATAGCATGACGTGAATTCTTAAAGTCCCTTATATGACTATAGGGCCCTTACAACAACTTCAAGAAGGCAGAGGAGCTTTTGTTGCAGACGTTCGGGCTTTCGGTGGCTTGGGATTGTACCGGGTCCTGAAGACCTTGGGTGGGGCTTCTTGGGTATTTCCTCTTGAGGAACCCAAAGGTTCACGTATACAAAACTATACTATCCTAGATCTGACTAGTACTTCACAACCATGCAGATTTCTATGCTTGAAGCGTTGAGGGATGAGGACCCTCATATGTCCTGTCGGACTGGGTGGCGAGAATCGAAACTCCTTTCCGCCTGAACCTTGCCTTCGCTACAGGATTCGGGACCTTCACAGCCAGGAGGTGCTTTCAAATTAAAGCATTTGAAAAATATTGGTAGGCAAGATCCTCTTGAGCCCAATAAGAGCAAGTATAAAATGTCCCAAAGCCCTACCTTCACCGTATTCTTTGCTGAATTCCCTGGCCGCCCACATCGGTTAGCTGTCTGAGACTATTCTGGTAGCATTGCATACAGTATACACGCCCCAACAAAGCTTGAAGTGGGTGTTACTATTCTGATAGGAGTGTATACAAGCCCTCAAGAACTTGAAGTCTACATCATCAGCTGCAGTCCTGGAGCTTGGGGATTTGATGTGTGTCTGTGCGTGTGCGTGCGTGTGTGTGTGTGTGGGTGGGTGTGTGTGTGTGTGTGTGTGTGTGTGTGTTTTCGTGTGTTTGTGTGTGTTTTCGTGTGTGTGTGTGTGTGTGTGTTTTCGTGTGTGTGTGTGTGTGTTTTCGTGTGTGTGTGTGTGTGTGTTTTCGTGTGGGTGTTTTCGTGTGTGCGTGTGTTTGTTTCCTTGCTTGTTTTCTTGTTGTGTTGTCGGGGTGAAGATTTTTTTGCTATATAATTATTGTTGTGTGTAGGACTCGGGTATATAAGCCTTCAGGGTGGAGCGCTGTAGATATTGAATCGAGGGGCCGTAAAGGTGCATTTGAGACCTGCGCCGCCACCAACGAACTCCTTGGCGTCCTGGGTGAGGAATTATCCCTAAGGCACCATGTGCCCATACAGTAGGCACTTAGGCCTTAAAGGGGTCCCTATATGATATGGGTAATTTGAGGCCTAAGTACCTACTATATGGGTACATGGAGCCATTGGGTATGGGGCTGTAGCATGACGGCTCGTGGCTGCTTTCTTTTCTGTCTGGAGCTGACGGGAATGACGAATTAGAGTATTTCTGCGCCCGGTCAGGCTTGGCGACATTTTCAAAGAATAACCCTGAACTCCATGCAGCCCGAAAGACATGAAGAGAAAGCTGGCTTAAACCCTTGCCCCAATTCCCATAGCCCTGATTTGCCCTGCAAGCCCCTTGAAACCGTATATGCCCTACAACGCCAACAACTTTGTAACTCCTGTGCTATGAATCTTACCTCGCGTGTGTTTGTCGGGTCACCTGATCTCTCCGCAACAAGGCTTGGAATGCGGGGCTTCGGGGGAACAAGAAGACACTGCTTAGGGCTTAAGGCTTCTATAGACTGTAGGGCTTCGAGGTTTGGGATTTTACTGCTGTTTTTTGCTTTTGAGGGCGGGGGGGTTCGAGGTCAGGGTATCCCGATTGCAATCCGAAAATAGCCAAGCTGGGCTCGAGATGCTTTCAGCACGCTCTGCACTATGCCCCTTACCCTCAAACCCTAAACCCTATCCCCTAACCCTTAAACCCCTAACCCCTAAAACCTAGCCCCTAATCGCCCTAAACCCCAAAACCTGCAGCCTGAAACCCGAGGCCTCAATGCTAGACTGGAGCCCTGACTCAAAAGTGCGATCATCTGTGTTCTTGTGAAGGAGCTCCAGGAAATACGGTAAAAGCCAGAAAGTTGGAATATGATTTTCCTAACCCTTCTATGGTAAATTATAGGGTATCCTACCATGAAACCATATTCCAACTTTCTGGAGTTCCCTGTAATGAGTTTCCTTCAGAGATCTGTAAAGGCTCCTTTAAGGGTATAGGGTTTAACAAACACCCAGTCATGTATCTATAAGCCCCCAGTGAACCCAGACAAGATACCCGAACACATATTCGGGATTCGGGATTCTACTATACCTCAAGGACTGGTCCTTGTTGGAGAGATTTTGGAAGGTTTGGGTAAGCCGCCTAAGCCCCCATTGAACCCTTGCTTGCGTTTCTATCCAAACCTGGTAGGCCCTAGCCCTAGCTTTGAGGGTGCCAGCCCGTTGGGACTGCGGCTGCAGAGTTTCATTTCAGAAGATGCCTTCTTGCGTGCTCTAGCTTGGATTGAAATCTTTACCATGCTGTAAGAGGCCTTATCAGCCTTACCCAACACTGAAACTTCAAATGCCCTTGTGACATCCATGTAACCAACAAAGCCAATAGCTCCTAAATTACGGTTGATGATAAAACATCCTGCGTTACCAAGAATAAGGAACATAATAAAATTCCCATAGACTAGGATCAGTCAGGTAATGCTGGATTTAGATCATCCACCGCTAGGATTCTGAACAAGGAGCGAGCATGGGCTCGGATACTGAGCTAAGTCGCCGAGATCTTCGTCACGGCATTGTCGCGGGGAAGGACGCCGCTCTTGTGAAAGGCCTCTTACGGTTTAGGGCGTCTTGGATCCCAGCACTCTGAACCGTTCAAACTGTCTAAGATAGACTCTCTCTCTCTCTATATATATATATATACACATGTGTATGTGTATATATATATAACTAGAAAGTTTAAAGTTCCCCATTGGCTTTCTATGTAAAACCTAGCTGCTGAGGGTAGCGTGATGGGGGGAGCCGGGTGTAGCAGGGAGGGGGACTTAGTAAGCAGGTAGAAAGTAGACTTATAAGTACCCTAAAAGGAACCCTAATCTAGGATACCCAGTAACCTAAGAATAAAAAGGCCTCTCTTTATGGTATTGGGTAACTTTATAAGGAACCTAGGACTACAAAAAGGGAATAAGGGTACTACTGGGCATCCTAGTAATTGGGGTTATCGTATTTATAAGTCCCTAAAACAACCAGTTACTAAGTCCCCCTAAACCCCAAACCCTGATACAATCCCTATAAATCCCTTCAAAGGGGCCCTTAAGGAACGCATTATAGTCTAATTATAATTACTAAGTCCCCCGACCCTCCAAGTGTCGGAGGGAGGGCGGCAGTCTGAAGAGCCCATCGCTTTGGAACTCTGGTGCCGATTTCAGTCAAAGGGGAACTTTGAGGGTTTGGGGTTTAGGGTTTGAAGCGGGGGTTTAGGGTTTAGGGATTTATTAGGGTTTAAAGGGGCAGGTTTAGGGTTTAGGGTTTAGGGGTCTAGGGGTTTAGGGTTTAAAGGGGGGGTTTAGGGTTTATTGGGGTTTAGAGGTCATCCAATGTAGAAGCTCAGATAAGTACCAATAGTATTCTTCAGGTTCGCTATTATCCCAATATCATGAAGGAGCCCAAAACCTTATTCTGATCACTAAGGCTCCTATATTAGAAGACTTCGGTCCTCATGGAGCAGCCTGCGTTTTAGTTCGACAGGAGTTTCTATGACATGCCAGGGACCGCGGCCCTATACCCGATGCCCTGAAGTATACAAGACCACAACGGTTCAAAGCAAGTGTATTCCCCACCTGGCCCCCAAAAGTATGTAGAATGATAGCCTTTCGTGGGCATTGGACCATTATGTTTACATACTTTGGGGGGACTTCGGTACCCAGACCTTCCAATATCCCTTAAGGAAGGAACATACTTTAAATCATTTTATTTGGCAACCTACTATAATTTAGGTTCTTTTCCTTACTCAAGGGTTTTGGGGGGGCTTAGGTAGAAGTCTTAGCAGAGAATTTTCGGCTCTAGCGCGTGAGGGGGTCCTGGGTCTGGAAACAGCTTCGACTAACGACCTCACCCTTGCAAGAACCAGGTACCCAGAGAGCCCAATGTCCGTTAATTAAGGAATATACCTTAAATCATATTAGGGATCCGATTATAATTTACGGCATATTCCTTAATTCAAGGGTATTGGGATTTCAGGGTAGGGTTCAGGGTTGCGGGTCTTGGGTCCGCCCCAGAAAAGGACAAGCTGTCTACGTCGAGCCCAGAACTCTATCGTTGGTGGCTTGGCACGTGAACCATAACCTTCAAGACAGTAACGAACCCAGACCTTCCAATATCCCCTGATTAAGGAATACACCTTAAATCAAAAGAGGCATCCTACTATAATCTGAAGTATACTCCTGAATCGAGCGATTTTGGAATGTCTGGGTGGAAGAGAGGTCTTGCAAGCCTGGCATATTCCCGCGGCAGCTTCCAAATCATGAGCTGCAAGCAAACAAACAGCAAACAGCTTCGGGTTTACGGCTAGGCTTTTGCTAAGTTTGCAGTTTAAGGTCTAGGGCGTAGGTTCCCTAAACCCCAAACCCTGAAGCATCAAAGAACCCTATGCTAGCGTCCCACTTCATTCAGTCCTGGGTCAACCACTCTGGTCCCATCTGGACGATCATGTCCTCTGCAGCTTCAATGTGCAGCAAACACTGAGACGATACAGTGTATACTCAAGAATAAATATGATACACTATTGAGTCACAGGCGTCAACATAGCCAAGGCCACCAACGAAAGAGACTGCCGATATGGTGGGATTGACACGTTTCTGTTTAAGGCTGTTGGTGAGCTTGAAGCTTATCGCATAACCCTTCGCCCTAGAACCTAGGGTTGTTAAGGATTCAGGACATGGACCACTATGGCCGTGCTCTCGAGGCGTGACGCTTCAACTCAATCAAGGCTGCCGTTTTGCCTGCTCAGCCTTGTCGGAGCCTTTAGGAGCTTAGCACTGTAGCATCCTCACTGTCTCAAAGGGTCCTAGGTATTGCTAGGGGAATACTTCCCCAAATCATGATGGTATTTTCTGTTATTAAAATAGAAACCCTACATTCTACTGTACTGTATAGGTACGTTGGACCCTTTGGGTATGCAGGACACCCGTGGACAAGGGACAAGGACATGAATAATGTCACTCTGTCACAGCCTCCCACATCACCAACAAACACTAACGTAACATCTAGACTGTAGAACATAAACAAATACACGCAGATGGACAGGTCGAGGGATGGATAGGATGGATGGATGGGATGGATGGATGGTAGATGAGGTCCCGGGGTTAACATGTTCGGGGTTTGCCGTATATTGAACTCCACAGAAACCCAAGCCGAACCCTAAACCCCAAACCGTCGACCTTGGTGTAGGGGAACTTCATGCCGTAGTAGTCGCCGGGGTCATTTTTGCTAGCGATCTCCGTCATCTCTTGATAGGAAATCCTGGGAGTCAGAATTGAAGTTCGGCTTCCGGGGTTTCGGCGTGAGGCGTTCTACAGCTTAGGGGCGATTAGGGTGTAGGGTTTATAGGGTTTGGGGTTCGGTGTTCAGGGTGAGGGGTTTAGGGGTTTAAGGTTGTAGGCTTGGGGATGTGTGGTGTCTTGGGGTTCGGGTATTGATGACCCTAAACACTCAACCTTTGAAATCCTAAACCTCTTGAGTCGAGTCCTATAAGCCCTAAACCTCTTAAATCCTAAACCCTAAACCCTACAAACACAACCTCCTGAACCCCAAGCCTCTCAAATCTTAACACCCCAAACCCTCAACCCCTTAAATTCTAAACCCTAAACCTTTTTCAATCCCAAACCCTAAACCCTCAGAGCCTAAATCTCTTAGATTCTGCAGATTCTAAACCCGGACCCTCAACCCCTTAGGTCCTAAGCCCTAAACCCTCCCCTGGCTGGAATATACCTTAAATCATATGACGGATCCTACTATAATTTAGGGTATAATTAGTCTTTAATTAAGGGATATCGGAGTCCCCTAAACCCTAAACCCGACAGATCCCTTAAAGGAACGCTTAAAGGAACCCAAGGCATACTCCTTAAGGGAATATTGGAGTCTCTGGCTGCGACATCCCAGTAGCTGCGGCTGCTTCACGTTTTTCCAAGGAGGAGGCCGCCTTTTGGGCCCATTCCTAAGGCAACAGGATAAGGGTTTTAGCGTTTAGGGTTTTAGGGTTTAGGGTTGAAGGTTTAGGGTTTAGGGTCAAGGGTTGAGGGGGGCAAGATAAGCAGAGTTTAGTAACTTGTAGTAACTTACTATGTGGAATTTAAGGCTTAGGGGCTTGTAACTTGCGTTTCTTTAAGTTACTGTTGGGGAATTTAAGGCTTAGTGTAACAGCTTAGGGCTTAGAATTTGCGCAAGTTCGCGCCGGGGCTTTTGAGGGTTTAAGGGTTCAGGCTCTGGTAACTTTGGCTTCGTTTCTGCCACGGAAAACTGTGGAGTTTTATGGTTGACTGGGGAGTTCTGGCTTGAGGGCCCTGCTTAGGATTTAAGGTAGAAGCCAGAAACTTGGAATATGATTATCCTAACCCTTCTATGGTAAATTATAGGGTATCCTACCATGAAACCATATTCCAACTTTCTGGAGTTTCCTATAGGTTGATTTGAACCTGATTAAGAAACCCTGGGCCTATAGCCTCCAAAATAGTAGGATTCATATAAGGAACCCTAAGCCCAAGGTTGCTTAATCAGGTTCCTACATTAGGCTTCAAGGTTTGTTCAGTGTGTCGCCTGGAAAGGGGGGGAGGCTGTGGGGTATGGGACACAGCCGTACAACATTCATCATACAAGTCTGTCATTGTCATCTTCTCTCTTGCAACATCTTTCTCCGCAATATATTATCACGGCACCTAATATTTAGGGTACCCAAAAAGGGATCCTAATTTTGAGAACTACCCATATAGATACCGTAGTAATCCCTTCCCCCTTTTACTAAAGGGACCCCTAATTATAAAAACACTTTTCCCCCGATCCACCCGGAAGTAGCACCGCCCTTTAAACCCTAATTAGAATTAGGGGGAAGGTTTAGGGTCTATAGATTGAGGGTTTAGGGGGAAGAATTATAATTGCATGACTCAGCAACTGCTCAATTGAGCCGCATGAAAAGCTTTATTAGCCAAGCCTTTATTGAAGCCTATTTTTTTAATGCGTATTTACGGATTTAGTGTGTATTTGCACGGATTTGTGTATTTGCACGGATTTAGTGTGTATTTGCACGGATTCAGTGTGTATTTGCACGGATTTAGTATGTATTTGCACGGATTCACGGATTTAGATGTATTTGCACGGATTCCGTGTGTATTTGCACGGATTTGGTGTGTATTTGCACTCACGTCCTGTGTAGTTGCACGAATTTAGTGTGTATTTGCATGTATTTATACGCATTTAGCGTGTGTTTGCACGGATCGTGAGTATTTGCACGCAGTATTTGGTGTCTAATTACAGGGATTTAGTGTGTGTATTTGCACAGATTCCGTGTGTATTTGCACGCATTTACTGTGTACCTGGTGTGTAGTTAGAGGGATTTAGTGTGTGTCTTTACACGGATTTAGTGTGTGTTTGCATGGATTCGGCGTGTATTTGCACGGATTTAGTGTGTAATTATTTGCATGGATTTGGTGTGTATTTGCACGCATTTCGTGTGTATTAGCACGAATTTCGTATGTCTTTGTGCATTTGCACGGTTTTAGTGTGCATTTGCACGGATTTGGTGTGATTTGCAGCCCTTATAATAGCGTTTCTTAAGTCTCCAGAGAGCCCAGAGCTTCAGTTCACCCCAAAATCTCGATTCCGGGTGGGGAAAGGGCCCAAATGACACCCCCGGGGATTGAGCCCACGACCTTCTCGAGGAGGGCTTTGGAGGCAGACGTTTACCCATTAGGCCATGGCCAGATAGTTCTGGGGGCGGGCGGCTGCCTCCTTAGGGGGTTTGGCCACGGTCGCAGGCCCAATTCTGGCGGTGTCCCCGTGGGCCCTTTCCCCATCCAGAATCGAAATTTGAATTGACCAAAAACCGCCAAGAGCACAACCACGAAAACCGCCAAACCCACCAAAACCCACCCATTCCCACTTTCCCATGCCCCTTTGCCCAAATGCTATTGGTGCTGATGCTGTGGATGTTCTACTCCTGTTAGTGACAATACCACTACTACTCCTGCTCCTGCTGCCGCTGCGATTGCTGCTACTGCTGCGACTGCTACCACTACTACTACTGCTATTTCTCCGACGACTACTACTACTACTACTACTACTACTACTACTACTCCTGCTGCTGCTGCTGCTGCTGCTACTAGTACTACTACTGATCCTGCTGCTACTACTACTACTTGTACTATTCCTTGTACTACGATGACGACGACTACTTCTACCACCACCACCACCACCACCAATTACCACTGCCACTAATTACCACTGCTGCTCCTGCTGCTGCTGCTGCTATTCTTGTTATCGCTACAACAACAACCACTCCTCCTATTACGACGACAACTGCTAACTGCTACCACTACCGCAACAATGAGCGAGCGTGCATTGACCGGATGGAAGATGAGATGGCTGCAATGGCTACTCCAAACCTTCGACATCGACATCATCATCATCATTATAAGCATCCTCATCCTCATCCTCATCCTCCTCATCATCCTCCTCATCATCATCACATTAAGCAAAGTACTGCCGTCAGATTGTCGGAACAACAGTTCATGATGAAACTCAGATACGAATCTTACTAGCATGGAAAAGAACGTTTCCTAATCATAACCGTCACATCACCAGCACGTGGATGGGTACGATGCTTCCAAAGGATTACAATTGCATGACTCAGCAACTGCTCAATTGAGCCGCATTCAAAGCTTTATTAGCTAAGCCTTTGCACGCATTTCGTGTGTACTTGCACGCATTTCGTGTGTATTAGCACGAATTTCGTATGTCTTTGCACGGATTTAATGTGCATTTGCACGGTTTTAGTGTGCATTTGCACGGATTTGGTGTGATTTGCAGCCCTTATCATAGCGTTTCTTAAGTCTCCAGAGAGCCCAGAGCTTCAGGTCACCCCAAAATCTCGATTCCGGGTGGGGAAAGGGCCCAAATGACACCCTCGGGGATTGATCCCACAACCTTCCCGAGGAGGGCTTTGGAGGCAGACGTTTACCCATTAGGCCATGGCCAGATAGTTTTGGGGGCGGGCGGCTGCCTCCCTAGGGGATTTGGGCACGGTCGCAGGCCCAATTCTGGCGGTGTCCCCGTGGGCCCTTTCCCCATCCAGAATCGAAATTTGAAATGACCAAAACCAAACCCGCCGAAAACCCGCGCAAACCCACCAAAACCCACCCATTCCCACTTTCCCATGCCCCTTTGCCCAAATGCTATTGGTGCTGATGCTGCGGATGTTCTACTCCTGCTATTGACAATACCACTACTACTCCAGCTCCTGCTGCCGCTGCGATTGCTGCTAATTACTGCTGCGACTGCTACTACTACTACTACTACTACTACTGAGCCATTGCAGCCATGTCTCATCTTCCATCCGGTCAATGCACGCTCGCTCATTGTTGTGGGAGTGGTAGCAGTTCGTAGTTGTCGTCGTAATAGGAGGAGTAGATTTAGTGAGAAGTAACAGTAATTAGTCGTAGTCATCGCAGTGGTCGTAGTAGTAGTAGTAGTAGTAGTAGTAGTAGTGGTTGTTGTTGTAGTGACAACAAGAACAGCAGCAGCAGCAGTGGTAATTAGTGGCAGTGGTAATTGGTGGTAGTGGTGGTGGTAGAAGTAGTCGTTGTCATCGTAGTACAAGGAATAGTACAAGTAGTCGTGGTAGTAGCAGCAGGATCAGTAGTAGTAGTACTAGTAGCAGCAGCAGCAGCAGCAGTAGTAGTAGTCCTCCAAACCTTCGACATCGACATCATCATTATCATTATAAGCATCCTCATCCTCATCCTCCTCCTCATCATCCTCCTCATCATCATCATATTAAGCAAAGTACTGCCGTCAGACTGTCGGAACAACAATTCATGATGAAACTCAGATACGAATCTTACTAGCATGGAAAAGAACGTTTCCTAATCATAACCGTCACATCACCAGCACGTGGATGGGTACGATGCTTCCAAAGGATTACAATTGCATGACTCAGCAACTGCTCAATTGAGCCGCATTCAAAGCTTTATAAGCCTTTGTTGAAGCCTTCTTTTTTAATGCGTGTTTACAGATTTAGTGTGTATTTGCACGGATTCCGTGTATATTTGCACGGATTTGCACGGATTTGGTGTGATTTGCAGCCCTTAGGCCATGGCCAGATGGTTCTGGGGGCGGGCGGCTGCCTCCCTAGGGGATTTGGGCACGGTCGCAGGCCCAATTCTGGCGGTGTCCCCGTGGGCCCTTTCCCCATCCAGAATCGAAATTTGAAATGACCAAAAACCGCCAAGAGCAC